CTTTCTGACCACCAAAGGCCCTTTAGCAGGTGGTGTAGGGCTCTGCAGCCCCCGCCCCAACTCCTTCCCATCACCTCCTGGCCCATTCTCCTGCCCAACTCAAATGCCTGCTCCTTTCTGGCCTCACTGGGCCCTGGTGTGGCTCCTTGGCCTTCACGGACCACGTCTGCCCCCAGGCCTGGCTCTCAGCACAAGGCCCCCTGGCTGTGGGCACTTTGCTGCCCAGCGTCCGGAAGCCCTGCTCTGTCACGGGTGGGGTGGGGGCAGGCAGGATTCGGCTGACTCAGGGTCATCCCTGCCCCCCAGGGCCTTCTGGTATACATGTTCTTCTTGCTGGTGACGCTGCTGGCCAACTATGGGGACACCTCGTGCCACGACCATGCCTACCGCCTGCAGAGCGCCATCAAGCAGGAGCTGGACAGCCAGGCCTTCCTGGCCATCACCCGGTATGGACGCCCCGATATGCAGGCACAGGTCTGTCTTCTTGGCCAGGGTGGTGCTGATGCTGACCAGGGTCCACCTTGATCCCGCCCTTGGTCCAACCCAGCCCCTAGGGGATATTGGGAAGTACCTCAATACATTTTTTGTTGTCAGAACTGGAGTGGGTGTTGCTGGCAATGGGTAGAGACCACAGATACTGCTCAACACCCTGGCTGAGGAACCAGGTTGTGCCTCGTCCCCTGGGGTAGCACTGGCCGCCTCCCCCTGGCTGGGCCTGGGCTGCAGTAGCAATGCTGTCTGGGCCTCTGACCTCTGGTGGGCACCAGAAGCTGAAGGATGGAGCACGTGACTCTGTCTGGTGTGGTCAGGTCTGATGAGTTCTGGCCGTGGATGTCCCACGTGCTGCTCCCCTACATCCACGGGAACCCGTCCAGACCAGAACTGGGGCCCCCACGACTGCGGCAGGTGCGGCTACAGGAAGGTGAGCTGGGGTGGGGCACCCTGCCACTTACCCATCCTTTTTTCCAAAGAGAAGTCTTTGACCAGGGTCTGGTTCCAACTCCCTTAGCTGGGTGACCTCCCTTCCTCAGTTTCTCGATGTGTAGCTGAGACAGTGACATCTATCTTCTGGGTTGCTGGGAGGGTTCGGTGAGATCCCATAGAGCTCAGCCTAGGAGGCTGGTGAACAGTCAATGCTCCTGGTTTGGCCAGGCTCATTCCCCAGCCCTCTGCTTTCAGCGCTCTGCCCGGACCCGCCTGGCTCAGGGGCCCCTACGTGCTTAGCAGCCTCAGGGATCTTCAGCACCAGCGACTATGGCATTGGCTGGGGGAGTGCTGCCCACAACGGCTCTGAGATGTGGGCCTACTCGGCACCGGACCTGCTGGGGTGAGCACGGAGGGCAGGTCAGGGTGCCCAGGGGGCAGGGGGAGTTCCCCAGAGGAGCCCCTCGTTCCAGCCCACTCCCAGGTTCTGCATGGCGCCGGCTCTGACACTGTCCTCCTCCCTGGCAGCGTCTGGTACTGGGGCTCCTGCGCCGTGTATGACAGCGGGGGCTACGTACAAGAGCTGGGGCCCAGCCTGGAAGAGAGCCGCGCGCAGCTGGGCTTCCTGCAGCTGCACAACTGGATCGACAACAGGTGGGCGCCCTGCCCTCTGCCCCTCCCGAACCCCGCCCACTGTGCACATCGCTCACATCTGCGGGCTGGCTCACTCCTGCGCCCAGCTTCGCTGCTTCTTATCATCCCCTGAAGGAGCCCAGCGAGCCAGCCTGCAGCCCTGCGGCCTCCCCAGTGCACGCCTCACTCTCCCAACACCTGCCCCCAACCCTCTTCTGCGAGTGCATCGGCTTCTCCTGGCGCGTCCCCTTCCTTCCCACCCCGTCTGACTCCGGGCCCTCCGCGCAGGAGCCGTGCAGTGTTCGTGGAGCTCACGCACTACAGCCCAGCGGTGGGGCTGCACGCCGCCGTCACGCTGCGCCTGGAGTTCCCGGCTGCCGGACACGCCATAGCAGCGCTCAGCGTCCGCCCGTTCGCGCTGCGGCGCCTTAGCGCCGGTCTCTCGCTGCCGCTGCTCACCTCGGTAGGCCCCGCCCCGGCCCCGGATGGCCCCGCCCCGGCCCCGGATGGCCCCGCCCTGTCCTGACCCCGCCCCGCCCCCGCCCCCGCCCCCACAGGTGAGCCTGCTGCTGTTCGCTGTGTACTTCTCCGCGGCTGAGGTGCACGCCTGGCGCAGGGAGGGGCGTGCGCGCGCCACGAGGCCTGGGACCTGGGCGCGGTGGCTGCTGGTGGCGCTGACGGCGGCCGCAGCGCTGGTGCGCCTGGCCCAGCTGGGCGCCGCTGACCGCCAGTGGACCCGCTTCCTACGCGGCCGCCCGCGCCGCTTTACCAGCTTCGAGCAGGTGGCACAGCTGAGTGCCGTGGCCCGTGGCCTGACCGCCTCGCTGCTCTTCTTGCTTTTGGTCAAGGTGAGTGTTGGGCCGGTGTGCCGGGGCGAGCCGGCGTTGGCGGGGTCGGTCGACTGACGCCCTCTGTCCACAGGCTGCCCAGCAGCTGCGCTTTGTGCGCCAGTGGTCGGTTTTCGGCAAGACGCTGTGCCGGGCCCTGCCAGAGCTCGTGGGGGCGGCCTTAGGCCTGGTGGTGCTCGCCGTGGCCTACGCGCAACTGGCTGTCCTGGTAGGTGCCAGTGGGGCCATTGGAGAGGGTGGCTTAGCCCAGGCCGCGCCTCACTCATGCCACCTTCCCCACAGTTGGTCTCCTCCTGCGTGGACTCACTTCGGAGCGCTGCCTGGGCCTTCCTGGTGCTGTGTCCCGAGGCTGGGGGTCCTGCCCTGTGCCCTGCGGAGTCTTGGCGCTTGTCCCCTGTGCTGTGCACGGGGCTCTGGGCCCTGCGGCTGTGGGGTGCCCTGAGGCTGGGGGCAGTCCTCCTGCGGTGGCGGTACCACGCTCTGCGTGGGGAGCTGTACCGCCCAGCTTGGGAGCCGCAGGACTACGAGATGGTGGAACTGTTCTTGCGCCGGCTGCGCCTCTGGATGGGCTTCAGCAAAGTCAAGGAGGTGGGTACGGCCCAGTGGGGGGGAGAGGGACGCACCCTGGGCCCAGCTGAGCCCAGGGTGCAGCCGGACTGACCGAGCCCCTGTGCCGCCCCCAGTTCCGCCACAAAGTCCGCTTTGAAGGGATGGAGCCCCTGCCCTCCCGCTCATCCAGGGGCTCCAAGTCTTCTCCGGATGTGCCCCCACCCAGCGGAGGCTCTGACGCCTCCCGCCCCTCCACCTCCTCCAGCCAGCTGGATGGGCTGAGCGTGGGCTTGGGCCGGCCGGGGCCCCGAGGGGAGCCCGAACCTGAGCCCTCCCGTCTCCAAGCCGTGTTTGAGGCCCTACTCGCCCAGTTTGACCGACTCAACCAGGCCACGGAGGATGTCTACCAGCTGGAGCAGCAGTTGCAGAGCCTGCATGGCCGCAGGAGCAGTGGGCCCACAGCCTCACCTCCCCCTAGCCCCTCCCCAGGCCTGAGGCCAGTCCTGCCCAGCCGCCTTGTCCGGGTCAGTGGAGGTGGTGGCTTGGCTACAGGCCCCAGCAGGGCATCCCTGCGGGCCAAGAACAAGATCCACCCCAGCAGCACTTAGCCCCAGGGGATCTGGGCTCATGCCTCTTCTCTGGGGTGGGCCTGTGGCTTCACTCTGGCCCCTCAGAGCCAGAACAGACACCGCTCAGTATTATTACCTTCTGCCACCCTCGAGGTTTCAGGCCAGGCAGAACAGCTGCACGCAGGTCCCCCAGAGAGCAGGCAGCACTTGTGTCTCTCTGTGGGCTTCAGCACTTTAAAAAGGCCGCGTGGCCAGCTAGGACCCAGGGTCCCCTCCCCAGTTTCCTGTGGGAGGACACAACGGTATTGGACTGAGTGCCCGGCCTCTGAGATGCTAATTTATTTCCTGAGTCCTCAGGTACAGCGGGCTGTGCCCGGCCCCACCTCCTGGGCAGACATCTCCCCCTTGCTAAGGATCCAGGCTATGGGGGATGGAACCTGCACCTCCTGTCATCCCCCCCCCCCTAAATTATTACCTTAACCAATGCGCCACCAGGGAAGCTTCAAATGAATTGTTAAGGTTGCAAAATACTCAACTGTCATGGTTGCAAAAACTGTGCAAATTTGTGAGTACCTCTAGAGCCATGGATTAGGTATAACGTGAAGATATCCTCCACCCTAAATTATTACCTCCTCTGTCCCCCTGCTGAGTGCATTCACCTCCAGCTGCCGCTATGTGTGTCTATTGTCTGTCAGTAATTTATGTGGGGTTAAAATGTATATATTTTTGTACGTCGCTTTATTTTTCAATAGGGCCAAGGGGCCTGGTGGCTGAAACAGCCTGTGCCCACTGTCACCCACCTTGAGGGGGAGCTGGGACTGCAGAGCTGGCCTCGCTCCCCAGACACCTGCCCACACGGCTGGGGAAGCAACAGCCACTTCTTGGCTCCAAGTCTGGCCTTGGGCAGGTGCTGGGCAGAGAGGGCGGTTGGAGGGGTGCAACCACCCCGGGCCCTTCTTGCCACCACCATGGCCTTATTCTCCTCCCCTGCCCAGGCCTGCTGGTGGGTCTGGGTGAGGGGCAGCACCAGTGCATGGCACGGGGCCCTAGGGTGGGTAGGGGGAAAGCTCTCTCCCCGGGGGCTGGCTCCCGGGCCAGGGGAGGTGAGCATGACAGTGCACGTGTGAGGCTTTCCTGAGGGCAAGGCCCCAACAGCAGCCTGACAGGCCCCCTCCCCACTCCAGTGGGCGTGGCCAAAGCTACAGCCTTGATCCCACCCCACCCAACAGACGAAGTCAAATAAATGAGTTGACTGACCGTTCCAGTGTCTGTGTCCACTCCGGTGTCTGTGTCCAAGCACACAGGCCTGGGCCACACCAGGACTTTATTTGCACAAATAAATACCACCCAGTGTGCCTCATGGGGGCAGGGAGAGTCCGGCAGCACGGCTGCTTAGGTGACAGCTGGGGGAGCCCAGGCACGTGCTCAGCATCTCAGAGGAGTCCCAACGGGACCAGGCACCAGCCCCCGTGCAGCCTCACACAAACTCAGTGAAGTCATCCACCGAGGAGACGAGGCGCTTCCGCTGGCCTGTCTCGTAGGTGGGCGTGGGCTCAGCTGGGGCCTGCGTGGGGGCCTTGGCGTGGCCGGGAGGGTGAGTCTGCATCAGGGGCAGGCTGGCGTTTGAGTAGTGGGCTTCCTCACGGATCTGAGGGAGAGGGAGCTTTGGCAGCAAGTCCAGAAGGGGCGACGCTGGATACCAGCACCCCCAGTCAGCCATCACGTCTCTGAGGGAGCGCCCCAACCCCCAATCCCCAGCGTGCCCACGGCCCAACCTCCCTACCCGGTGGCGGAGCCGCTTGATGTGGCGGAGCCTGGCAATCCACTTGGAGGGATAGGTGTCAGTGGGGTTGGAGCGGCTGTGGTGCACCTGTGAGGCCATCTGGGGCGGGGAGGGCAGAACAGTGAGCCCTACACAGGTGGCACCTGTTCCCACCCACCTCCTGGGGGCCACCTCTGCTCACATTTGCGTGCAGGGCCATCTGACGGGCCACGAAGGGCAGGTTTCGGTCGGACACGATCTTGGCCACACTGGTGTCCACGAGGCCCTCCATGTCTGGGAAGACACGGCACTCACGTGGGGCTCAGAGCCCCGGGTGCCTCCCCACCTGGCCCCGCGCCTCACCTTTCCTGCACTGCAGCGACACCAGGTTGCACTCATAATCCAGGGGGGTGATGATCACGTGGACAAAGTTGAACTGGCCCTGCCCAGACAAGAGCAGGGGTCACCCCACACCAAGGGCCACTTTCTGCCACCCCACACTTAGCCCAGGAGGGTAGCTGGCTCGTTGGTTAGATGCTCGCTAACTCAGCACATGTAGCCACCACCTGCACACCCACACTTAATCCTCACCTGGCCTGGGGGCCACCATCCTGTCACCCCTCTACTGCCTCACCTACAGCCTGCATAAGCCAGATGGTCACACAGCTCCCAATCCCTCCACACTGCCCAGGGCTTCTGTGCTGCCCAGCAGCACCTGCCTCACTGCTGGCTGAGAGCAGTATGTGGAGCTCGGCAAGTTCCTGGGCCGCCCAGGATGGCACATGGAGCATCCACACCTCGGGCCCCTCCGAGAGGTAGGGTGTGTGTGTGTGTGTGTGCACACGTGGGCGTGTGTGTGTGGTAGGGTGTGTGTCTGTGTGTGTGTCTGTGTGTGCGCGCGCGTGCGCACGCGCCGTCACCCCCCGCCCCCCACACCTCGGGCCCCTCCGAGAGGTAGGGTGTGTGTGTGTGTGTGCCGTCACCCCCCCTCCAACAGCTCTACAATGCAGGAGGCCCACTTCGGCCTCCCCAGACACTCCTGCCTCTATCAGAGTCTCTGCCCCAAACCCCAGGGTATCTGTGTTCAGTGACATCCTCTAAGGCTGCTCAATGCACTCAGAATAAATCCCAACGCCCCTGAGCACTGGCACCTCAGACCCTGGGCTGCGCCAGGCACCTGCCCACTCGGCCTTGCAGCTCATCCACACATGGCCACCCTGTGACAAGCCACCTGCACTGAGCCCGCCTCCTCCACGTGGGACCTCGAGCCCCAGCGACTTCCTCTAGGAAAGGGGGTGATACCAGGCCCAGCACAACCGCTGAGCAACAACATGAGGGACGGACTGGGGAACAGGTCTCAGGGTTGTTACAAGCAAACGCTGCGTACCCACCACCTGCCATGCACCCGCCAAGCACAGTCGCACAAAACCCACAGCAGCGCGTGGCTCCAAGAGGAAACCAATGGGTGTTGTCCTCATCACAGAAGAGGACACGGCCCAGCTGGGGGCCCGCCGCCTCAGGGGGGTACACAAGCGGGTTGTGATGTCACCAACGCTGACCCAGCGGAGCTCGCTATCTCTGCTCAACACAGAGCAGGGGGCACTTCCCCAGAGAGATCCAGCTTCCAGCCTGGGGCCCTGGGGCCCAGATCCATGCCCACCTGCCCTTTGGGCCCCTTGCTCACTTTGATGGTGCCGAGCTTGAAGTCCTCGCCAGAGTCGTTGTAGACAATGGACACGAAGTCGTTGCCCAGGTGGCGCTTCTTGTCACAGCGGTGCTTGTCCACGTCCTTGGTGGGCATCAGGGTGGCGATGTGGAAGACGGCTGCGGGGCGGAGCGGAGCTGAGTGGGGTGGTGCCAACCCAGGCAGGGTGCCAGTAAGGGCTCCTCAGGCTGAGGCTGGGGGCCAGGACAGGTGGCAGTGGGTGCAGCCCTCAGTGCCCCTGAGAGGAGGGCTAGGTTTCTCCGGAGGCTCCTGAGGGCCCGCAGGAGCCGAGAGGAGCGGGCGGGGGAGGGCACACACCTTGCATGATGTCGTCATGCCAGCAGTAGGTGAACTGGCCGTCCTCGCCGCACACGTCCAGGCCACCCAGGTACACCTTGTCCGGCTGGCAGTCCTTGAGCTCAATGAGCTTGCCCAGCCCCGTCAGGAACTCTGTGTACCTGTAGGAGCCATGCTCATTGGACAGGATGGCGAGCTCACTGTTGCTCTGCAGGAAGACAAGCGGGGCACGGTGGCACCTGCTCCCAGGCTACCCCCCAGCCACATGCTGCCCCTCCCTGGCTCCAGGACCCCAAGGGCTTGTTGCTGCTGGGGACCCAGAGGAGGGGTGACTGGTGTGGCTGGGCAGACAGCCCCACTTCTGCCATCGACCCGACTCGGCGAGGAAGCTTCATTCAGGGTCAGGCAGCTTCATTCCCATCATTGCCCAGGTGTGTCACCCCACTCCCCCACTCTCTCGTAACTAGCCTGTCAATAAACGGGGCCAGCTCTGCTTCAGAACACACCCAGAGCCCTCGGCACCCCTCTGTCCCTGCTCCTCCAACCTGCCTCTCACTCCACCCACTGTTGCACCTCTGCCAGTTCTCAGCCTCAGCCAGAGGATGCTTTTGAAACTCAGGTCAAGTCAACTTGGACCCTTCGCTTGGAACCACCTGAGGCCCTCCCGTCTCACTGGGTGCTGTCTGAGTTCCCACCACAGCCCCACTACTTCCCGCCCCCACCGCCCACGCCCCGCCTGGCACCCCTCCCCTCTGTGCTGGCCCAGGAGCGCACTATGCCACCCCCACCTGCATGTGCGCTCGCCTCCCTCACTTCTTGCACGTCTGCACTCCATGTCACCTCCCTCGGATCAGCGACATGAAAAGCGTGCCGCTCACACCTGCGCAGGCTCCCTGGACCCGCCACCTCCTCCTCCTCCTCGGTCCTCGCCACTCTGTGCACCACGTGCTCACACACTACCTGTCCCTCTCACTCCTGGGTCCCTGGCACGGAGCTCAACGGGCACCCGACACTCCAGCGGCCCTGCAGTGACCAAGCTCTGCAGAGGACAAGGGCCCAGACCCCCCACACACACCCGGTGGGGTGGACACCCAGCTCTGCCCAGCATGCAGGCTGGCCCCTGCCAGCCTGGCAGCCTCACCTGGCCTTCTCCCACGTACAGGACGGCGATCTTGTGTGTGTCATACGATGGGATCTGGTCAAGGAGCTGCACTGACCGCTCAAAAGACTGTAGCCATAGAACCCTGCCTAAGCCCAGGGCAGAGGCTGTCCCCTACCACCAGCCCTGCCCAGCAAGCCCCAGCCCAATGCCTGTCCAGGAGAGGCCTCTCCTCACGCAGGCATGTTACCGTAGGCTGCCGTGGGGACCTGAGGCCGTAGCCCTCCACGAGCCTGGGCTATAGCCCTCACTGCCCAGCCCTGGGGCATCATCCCACTGTGCACCCCCAGCCAGGCTCCAGGGGGACCCTGAGGGGAGAGAGGGTCCTCCTACCTCATTGGGTAAAAGGATTGGCTTGTTGGACTCATCACCGAAGAAAGGTGAGTGGTAGAGCTGCAGGAACACAAAGCTGCAGGGGAAGAGAGATGATGGGGGCTGGGCTTGGAGCTACAAGCCCAGGGCCAGGGTCTCAGCCAATACGGTCATAGCCCATGTGGAGAGCAGCAGGGCCCGAGCCTCATCACCCAAGGAGCTACCCTCTCCTGTGGCTCCGACCAGCCACGGGGCAGAGGATGTGCAGACCTGTACCCCAGCCTGCTCTGTCCTGGGCCCCTCAGGCACCACGTCCTCACAGGGAACATCCAGGCACTCCCACCAGAAGGGCGAGGCTCACCTGGGGTTGATACCCGGCACCTTCTCGGTATTGGAGGTCCCAGCTCTGCTCTTGAAGGCGTCCCTCTCCACCCTCTTGCCCCTGCGTGACGGGGCCGAATCAGAGATAGTGTAGCCTCGAGGCCGCAGCCCACTGGGGGAGCGGGGACAGCTGGAAGGCAAGGGACCCTCAGGCTGGGTGGGACCCTGGCCCTGGCTCTCTTCGCCTGGGGCTGACCAGGCAGCACCTTCCCTGCCCAAGATCCCTGACTGTGACCGGGCCTTGGCCTCAGGGCTCAGCCGGCCGACATCAGCCTTGTCCCCAGGGTCCCCAAGGATGTCCTGCAGGGTCTGTAGTTCAGGCGATGAGCTTGACTTGCTCAGGGGCTGCGAGGGCTGGAAGGCGAGCTCCACAGAGGGCCGGGAGCCCTCAGAGGAGATGGCCCGCTCGATGGGGATCCCCCCAGCAGCCAACTCCTCGGCGTGGAATGACTTCTCCTCCTGGCTGGAGGTCGAAGATGACTGCAAAGAGCGTATCCAAAGAAAATCTTCATCAAGAGGCACCACTGAGGGGAATTCCCTAGTGGCGCAGTGGCTAAGAATCCTCCTGCTAATGCAGGGGACACAGGTTCCCTGGTCTGGGAAGATCCCACATGCCGCGGAGCAACTAAGCCCATGCGCCACAACTACTGAGCCTGTGCTCTAGAGCCCGCGAGCCACAACTACTGAAGCCCACGCGCCTAGAGCCCATGCTCCACAGCAAGAGAAGCCACCACATTGAGAAGCCCGCGCACCTCAACTAAGAGTAGCCCCCGCTCACCGCAACTAGAGAAAAACCCACGCACAGCAACGAAGACCCAACATAGCCAAAAATAAATTTAAAAAAAGACAACAATGAAAATTCAATATACTAAAAAAAAAAAAAAAAAAAAAAAAAGAGACCACACTGACCCCACCTGGAGGCAACAAGGCCCCACCCGTCCTCCAGCCCAGGGCCATGGAGCTGCCCAGCACCGAACTGATGGTCCCCCCATCCCCTGAAAGCACCTCCCTGTGCCCCACGCTCAGCAGAGGAGACAAGAGCCTCATAGACTAAAGGATACCAGCAATGAGAAGCTATATCTCTGGGTAGACCACTGGAAAACCCCACACTGTCTTACAGCAGGGACTTGGTAGAACATCTAGCCGTTTTTTTTAGATAAGAAAAGGCAAGGGGATGGGGTAGGGGTGACAGTGGAAAAACTTTCTAGAGTTCAGAGCAAATCAGTTATGTGCCACAAAGCTTAAGGTGGAGATCCCGCACCTGCCCCCACCCCCGACTCAGCCCCTGCCTCCCACCCGACCCCCCCCTCCCTCTCAGTAGCTGGGCTTGAGGTCTAGAGGCCTGCCTGGCCATGGAGGTCCAGATGGCAAGCACCAACAGGGACCCTCAGGTCGGCTCTGGTCCCCAGCTGCACTCACCCTGCTGAAAGCTTCAGCATGCCGATAGCGCCCGTCTGTGCCTAGGGTTGCCTCAAAGTCTTCCAGTTCGGGGGGCTCCACTGGCAAACTAGCCTCGCCTGGACTTCCCTCCTCCAGAACTACCGCAGAGTCTGGAAAGACACACACGGTGCTGCTGGGTGCCAGCCCGGCCACCAGGAGCTCACGTGGCCTCAGGGGTACCAGCTTTTCCCCCACGAGAGGGTACAGCGGCCCCCCAGCAGGGCCACCCCCTCCCATTGAGTCAGCTGGAGGAGGGCACTCTTGAGCACCCTGGGTGTGAGCCCTGACACAGGGTGTCTCCTACATGGGCTCCCAGGGGTCAGGATGAGAGGACATCTGGCTCCTCTAGTCCCCACCCATCCATCCCAGTGTCCACAGAAGCCACCTCTGCTCCTTCAGCAAGGCAGGTGGGCAAGGGCAGGCCAGACCCCCATGAGGAAGCCCCCCCACCCCGCCTGAGACGGGGCCTCAGCTCAGGAGGAGGGCATGCCTACACCAGCCCTCAGGAACTGGGGAGAAGCCAGAGCTCCTCCCTGCTTGGCCCCAGTCGAAAGACTGCAGCGGGAAAGTCCCTGTGTGGGAACACAGGCTCAGGAGCCATTCTGTAGATTGGAGGCTCGCTTCCGAGTCCAGGCCGACTCCGAGCCGGGCGCACTTAGGAGAGAGCATGACGCCCCCAAGCCGCATTTCCTGTGCCAGCACCAGGGTGAGGGGGGTGAGAAGAAGCAACCAAGTTAGCACCGCCCGCACGCAGCCCCGCACACGCGCAGTCCATTAGCTGCCCATAAGAGCCCCTCTGCCACTGCACGCTCCTAGCTGGCTCCTGCCCATGCAGTAGGGCCTGGGTGGCTGGAGGCCTGGACGGCTGGAGCCCCGAGCAGGCCACACCCTCCCTGCCAGGGCCTGGGAGCCACGGGCCAGAAGGCGGTCTGCAAGGCCCTCGGCCAGCCTACTATGAAAGGTAAACACGTCCCAATTTGTGGGTTCACAAAGCCAGTCAGAGCACCAGAGGCCAGGGCAGGGGCAGCTCGGCCGAGCCCCAGAGCCAGGCTCGCACCCCAAGAGCTATCGTCCATCGGCCTCTGGGGCTCAGTTGCCCAAGGTCACCTCCTCAGGCCTGAAGGGGCTGGGAGGGCCCGTCTGGCTCAGGAACAGAGCTCAGCCATGAAAGCGCGAGACAGTGGGGGTTCCCGCTGGCAAAGCAAACGCATTCGGCACCGATGTCTTCATGCGAGTCAGGGCCCTGCACTCAGAGGGCGACGAGAGGCTGAGGTGCCATCGTGGAGGCGTGAGCGGATGAGGGACGATGAGTCAGCATCTAGGGGGCAGAGTGGTACTCTGCAGCAAACACCGCTTTCCTTAAAGAGACGCACGAATACCTGCCCAGGAAATGCTCCTATGCAGCTTTCCTTGGCAACTGGACTGGTACAGGGAGGAGAAAGAGGCCACTGCAAGGGAAACCGTGAGCGGCCAGTCAGCAGAAGGAGAGACTACGCACAGGTCGAGCAGAGAGGACAGGCACCACTAGTCCTGCACAGACCCAGAGCCTGGAGAGAGAGAGGGGAGGGCCAGCGAGATCGGCTGGAGGGGCGGGTGTGGCACACACGGGTCCCAGCTCTCCAAGCTGCTCGAGCAGACATCTGGCGGGAGTGCATCCCTCCTTCTCGTGAGTAGAGGTCCTCGGCCTCTGTCATCGGGCCACAGGGAAGGCCGGGGGTTGAAGGACAGCACGGGCCCAGCTGGGCAGGGTCATGAGAGCGCAGGCAGGCGCAGGCAGGCTCAGGTGTGCTCGGCGCATCCAAACCCAAACCCAAACCCAAGCAGAAGTGCGGCGGCCTCCTGGAACCCTTGGCACCAGGCACCCTGAGGAGGGTGCAGAACCAAGGCCTCGCTTGGCCCTGCCCGTGTCCACCCCATGAGTAGGGCCAGCTGAGCAGGGCCTTGAGCCCACCGATTCACGGTACCGGGCCTCCAAAGAAGGTCGCCCCTGCAGGAGCAGTCCCTGCTCTCCGGAGATGGGCATCCCCCCACGGCCAGCCTTCTCCCAATGCCTGAGGCTGGCAGCACCAAGGCTCAGGACCCCACCCCAGGTGCATCTGCCATCAGGCAGGGCACACCAGGTGGGTGAGAGGCCAGCGCTCACCTGTGTTAGAGCGTGGGGGTGGGGGGGGCTTGGCTGAGCCGGCCGCCGGCACCGACAGCGACTTGTACAGGGCTGTGTCGCGACGCTCCTTGAAGCGTTCGGCGGCCATTAGGGCATTGGACAGCTCCTGCAAGGGCGTGTTGTTGATGTCCGAGGAGAAGGGACTGAGTGGGTTCTCCAGGCTCATCAGCCAGCTGGTGTTCCCTGCAGAGGGGCAGCCAGCACCCCACAGGGCTCAGGGCTCAGGCCCAGCGCATCCGAACAGCCATCCCCTCCCGGACCTCTCCGGGCAGCCCCAGCCACGCTGGCCTTTAGGGAACATGCCTCGTGCTCCACCAGGGAGTGACTGTGGGGGGACCAGGCAAGGCATGCCCCTGGCCTTGCCCTGATGCTCCCACCCCCAGTCCCCCTGCCCTGGGCCCTGAGGTCAGGGCAGCCACCAGTGGTCACTAGCTTCAGTGACAAGCACGAGGGGCTCTTAGCTCACAGCACCTGCTGCCCCAGGGCAGTTCCCACACTCAGGACAGGCTCAGCCAGGCTCAGGGCCAGAGGGGGAGCAGCCACAGCAACTCAGTGCAGCAGACTCCTGCCCAAAGGGGGGTTCTGGGTGGGGCTCAGAGAGGCTTCTGGGCTCTGTCCACTCTCCCCTCCAGGCACAGAGGACCACGCTTGGACTTGACCTTCCTCACTGAGCAGCCTCACATCCCAGCATCTCATCTGACCTCGGTCCACCTCCTCCCAGCCCACCTGGTTTCCTGCCTCCCCCATGGCCATTCCCTCACAGGAACCGGGAGGACTGGGCTAACACACACGAGGAGCCTCTCCCTGCCCCGACCCCCACGGCCCCACAGCCCAGCACACAAGGCATCCATGGGGCCAGCACCCCATCCCTCTCCTCATCACTCGGTCACCACTGGCCCCACACTGCACCTGAGATTCCTCCCAGGCTCTAGGCCTTGGCTGAAATGGCCCTGTCGTGGGCTGAGTTGTTTCCCCCCAAATTCACGTGTTGGAGCCCTAACCTCTGAAACAAGATTAAGACACAGAGGGACAACCGCATGAGGATGCAGTGAGGAGACGGCCATCTAAAAGCCAAGGAGAGAGGCCATAGGAGAAACAAGCCTTGCCGACAACCTAACCTTGCACTTCCAGGCTCCAGGGCTGGGAGGAAATAAATTCTGTTGTTTAAGCTGTCCAGTCTGTGGTGCTTCGTTATGGCAGCCTGAGCAGACCAGGACAGACCCTTTCCTCACTTAGCCATGGGGCCTCCCCTCACTGTTCCTCTCTGGGGACTCAGCTCAAAAGTCACCTCCAAATTGCTCCCGTGGCCCAGTCTGCCTGCCACTGGTTCCTGTGTGTCCAGAGCCTTTATGTAACTGTCCCACACTATGGGCTGACAGCGGCCCAGGCCAGCTGAGCGCAGGTCCACCCCTGGGGTACCTGTGGGTCTCCGGACCAAGATCTCCGCCCAGCCCTGGGTCAGCAGGGGGACGTAAGCCGCCAGGTTTGTCTTCTCCTTCTGTGCCGGTAGCTGGGTGCTGGCTGAGGCTTTCTCGGGCTTGCTGGCTGGAGCAGTCTGTGAGCCTGGGGAAGTGGGGCTGCCAGGAAAGTGGGAGGCTGGAGCATCCAAGGCACCAACTCGAAGGCCATGGCCCCCTGAGGAGGAGAGCAGGAGGGCTGGTGACCACCACCGCCCAGTGGAAAAGCCACTGGCAAGGCCTGGCTGCTCCACCTGGGGCCTGGGCTGGCCAAGCCCTGAGCTAGTGCCCAGAGGCAGCTCGGCCATCCCCAGGCATGGCACGCTTCCAGTGTCAGTATCGGCCTTGGCGGACCCAGGGCAGCAGGAAGGGCCCCCATCACCTGTCCCATAGTCAGACCATGGCTCATTTCAGCTACAGCAGAGTAAAAAGCTCCAGGGGTGAGCTGGGCTGAGGGCCAGGACTGCTGAGGGCTCATAACACTGACCACGAGAACAGGGCCCCAGCGGCAAGTGGGCCTCGTGCCACAGCTGCACAGGTCATGTCCCCCCACGCCCCAACTCTGTGACAAGGGCCCACAGACAGCACTCTAGTTATTCAGAAACTGGAGCAGGCCTAAAGCCAGCCACCTTGATCCTCAGCTCCCAGGACCTTCCTGAGCACAGGGACTTGCAGAGGCACCCAGGAGGGAGGCAGGGTGGGCAGAGGCTCACCAGACATGGAGCGGACCCGGTCCCGGGCTCCATGGCACACCTGTTGCCCAGCCTGGGACTCCAGCTTGGCTGGTGCCTCCTTTGTCTGTCTCACGTGCACACTGGGGTCAGAGCTGAGGACAGAAGGGTCCCCACAGAGTGTAACCAAGGTATTCCAGGGGCTCCAGGCCTGCATGACACTGTCTCATGCAGGCCTGGGCTCAGGACAGCCACCATCAAGGCCAGGCAGGCAGGGGCAGAAAGGTGGTCACCTCAACTCTGGGCCCCCCTGCAGCTCTCCTGAGTCCAGGCCCAGCAGAGACCGGGTCCCAGTCCCCACGCTCGTCGTCACGGTGACAAGCTTGTTCCCAACCAGCCAGGTTTTGGTCCTGCCACCTGCCAGGAGGAACTCTCCCACGGGGGACCTGAAAGCATAGGAGTGTTGGTCAATACCTCACCCGCAGGAAGGAGTCCCATGTGCCACTCCTGCTGCCCCTTTGACCAAGTGCAGTCATAAAAGAAAAGCTAGGCCCTGCCCTCCGGCCCTGCCCCAGTCCTGGAGCCCGACTCGCACCTCTTGGGGACCGCCGTGAAGTTGGAGAACACGTATCTGGCCATCATGTCCAGACACGTCTCTGTGAGCTCCAGGTGGAGAGTTTTCAAGTTGTCGTCAGCCTGGGCCATTGAGTTCTCATCTGCAGACCCCAAGCTGGCGCTCGTGAGAGATGTCTGGATCCTGCTGGAGGGAGGAGCCACGGCGAGGTCAGAGTGCCAGGTGGGGGCCGAGCCATCTACCACCGGGGCCAAAGCTCAAGGCATGCAGGTGCTGAGAGGGCTGCACTCAGAAAGACCCGCCAGGGCGTGTGGCCAGTCGAGCCACAGCTTGGCAAACCAAGTGGACACATCATCCCAGGGGGTGGGCAGACAGGGGCTCATGGGAGAGACCCAGGCCCGCTCATCGGAGCAGAGGCTTAGGAGATGGGGAGAGACAGGCTGTCCCCTCACCGAAGCACAGAAGAGTCAGGTGATGGCTTTGTGGCAGAACAGTGTAGTCATGCAGAGACACGGAGACCACAGGACACACAGACAAAGATTGCATTCTGCCCACAGGGCCACCTCCCATGGAGGACAGGAAGGGTCTGGGCTTTGTGTGAGGCTCTTCACCCACACACTTGGGCTGCCCCAGCCCTGCCCCAGTGACCAGGAGGAGGGGCTTGTGCAGGTTTCACTCTGATACAAATTTCATACTCCCTTTGCCGAGTTTTGCTCATGATAAAGAATTTGTTGGAAAAGAGCTGAAAGGAGAGCCTCACTGACCACTCCCCAACCCCAGCTCCCCACCAAGTCAAACCCCACTTAGTGGAAGCCAGCCTGAGGCTGGAGCCCCAGTCAGGCGTCAGCAAGGGGGTGGGTCTCCGAGCTGTGGGACACTGAGGCCTGAAGGAGCTTTCAGGTGAGGAGACAGTGCAGCCTGGCCTGTCGGCACGAAGCAATAACCCTCCCCCCTCCAGAGCCCACACCTGCACCCGGACACAGCAGGGAGAACTGATGAGACTGCACCCCTGGAGAGGCCAGGCCTCCCCTGCCTGGCCTCTCGCAGGCTGGCCCCCAGCCCACTGACCTACACAAAAGCCCCCATTCCCTCTCAGCTACAACAGAAAACAGACCTTTTCTAGAAAAAAAGCTCAAGAAGAAAGCCCACTAAAGAGGATATGAAAGAAAAGCCGAACCCTGGAGAGTGTGTCCCCACCTGACCTGCATGGGCGCTGCTTTCATTTGCAAAGGCCCCTGACCACCAGGGACAGGCCTGTGGGCGCTGCCACTGGACACCCTCTATCTCATGGTGGTCACCCTGCTTTAGGCTCCCAGGCCGGCCTCTGAGTAAGCTGTGCAGCCAGCCCGCACCCATACGAGCCTTGGTGACAGAATGCAACCTTTCCACCCCTCTCCACCAGGCTCCCCGGGCCCAAGGGCAGGGCTTGGCAGGACGGGCCCCTGTGGCCTGAGGGCTGCCACTTGGGCTCTCCTCCAGTTCTGGCCAGGGAGGGCATGGGCAGGAGATGAGGTCATGCAAGCAGCCCCATGCACCACCACCCAGGTGCTCCCGCCTGGCAGCGCCACTTCACGGGCCAAGCTCCAGGGTCTGAGCCCCCCACCCAACAAAGCCCACTACCTGCGGACCACATGTTCAGACACACTGATGCTGCGGCACCGGAAGGCATCGGCTGCAGAGCTCTCCTTGAATTCTTTCACAGGTGGAGAGTTATTCAAGCCTTGTTTGGGGGGTCTGGCTATCCTCAAACTACCAGGTGAGGAAGGAAGGCCCAAGCCCCAGAGAGCCCAGCTCCCGGGAAGGGAAAACAAGCCATTGGAGGGATGAGGAGGAAAGGTCACAGGCCACAGGGTCAGGATGGAGAGCCCGCGGGTGAGATGAACAAAAAACCATGCCAGAGGCCAGTTAGCAGGGGGAAGAAACAGAAAACAAAAATGCATGAAAATACATCTTGTAAACATGACAGAAAAAGTAAGGCTTCACGCATGATACCAAAACAAAGAACATTAGTACAAACAAAATGTGTGTGGACCGCATCGCACGGCAGATTCCAGGCTGTGCTGACCAGGTGTCCCACCCACCCGCTCGGGAACAGGTGCTAAGGCCCCGAAGGTCACAGCTCAAAAAGAGGTCAGTTCTTAGCTCAAGGCCCCGGCCCCCAGCCACCAGGACCTTGAGAGAACAGCTTCTGACTTAGGTCACACTGACGTGGTCATTCTGGAAAATGCCGTATTCCCACCTAGGGAGAGCCAAAAAAGCTTGGACAGGAAGGTGGGGGACAGGAAGGGGGGCAGCCGTTCAAATGAAATGCAAATGAAACCACAAGGCCTAGCATGGCTCTTCTCAGATTTGGCGAAAGCGGCTGTGATGAAGAAGAGCATGTCCCCCATTAGCAATGGGCTGGGCGAGAGCTCAGGTGACAGGCCACCCTGGCCCGAGGCTGGGCATCTGTGGACCCTGGATCCTCCCATCCAGGCCAGGTGTTTGGCTTCTCAGGAGTCAGCTGCCCTGATGCAACCCTGGGCTCGTTCAGCGGAGTCAGTCCCAAAACCTGACGCCCTAGAACTAGCACCTCAATCTCCAACTCAGCAAATCTGTACTCGCCCGTCACCCAGGCAGGATTGGCCACGACCCAGCACGCAGGCTCCACAACACCGCAGGCCACAGCAACTGGCTTGCTGAGGAGCAGCGCTGGCCTCTCCAGCCACGTGTGGGGTGTTCGCAGCCTTCTCAGGCCCCGCCCTGCTTCACAACCCGAGGGCACTTTGGAGCCCAGCACGGTCTGCGCAGGGCATGCCCTCAGCCCCAGCCCGTACGCACCATGCCGGCCACAGGCCACAGCTTGCAGGCCTGCCCTGCCCCACTGACACCAGGCCCGCCCACCCAGGCCCCGCACCTCTTGGGCCTCTCATTGAGACTGGTGCTCCGTGCTCTAAAGCTGTCCTTTTCAGGGGTGTCATCAAAAGACAGGAGAACGTTGGAGCGCAGACCCTGGCAGAGTGGAGCAGACCTGAGCCGCAGGCCAGAAGGCACTGGCCCTCCAGGCACCCACAGGCTTCTTCCCTCCACACCTGCCAGCCCAGGTACACTGTGAGCCTGGGATGAGCTACAGGCCCAGGACAAGGGTGGCAGAATTGTGTCCCAGTGGCGCCCCACCTCTCTCTCCCCTGCCTGTCACCCTGGATCCAGCCATGGTGAGCCAGCGGCAAAGCAGGTCCCAGCCCTAACAAGGGATGCGGCCTCCGCTGGCTTACCTTAGTGATATAAGGAACAAAATCTTTCCGGAAGGGCAGGCGGCACCTAATGAACCACATGGCTATAACGTGATGGGCCAGGCACACAATGTACTGATTGAACCTGCGACAAGAAGAGAAGTGCTGGAGGTCCAGCATGGCATCCGAGGGAAATGAGCCAGGAGCTGGGGGTGCAGATCAGAGGTGCTATGGCCACAGGGAGCCTGTGTGGCTTTCTACTCCGAGAGGCCTGGCCTCCAGCAAGCAGAGGCCTCCAGCTGGCCTGGGCCACAACCAGGAGGGGCAGGGTCTCATAGGGATACACGGCAGCACTTACTTGGAGGGGTTGGTATACGGCAGGGAGATGGCAAACACACTGGCGTACTGCTCTGCTGCAAAGTTCCTGTAGAGCTGAGGCAGCCTGGCCAGAGCTGCAACACCAGGAGACAGCCAGTGAGGGAGCCCAGATGGGCCTGGCAAAGACGGGCCCACGGCCACAGCAGGGCAGGGGTTGCCAGAGTCCTGTGCTATGTGTCTAAAAAGCCAGTGCAGCTACTCCGACCCAAGAAGGCGGCAAAGCAGTGAAGGTCACAACCCACCCAAACATGACCTTCCCCTGCCCCTGGGCCTCGGCTCTCTACTCCAAGGGCTGGCAAACTATGGTCCCTAGGCTCAATCCAGCCAGTGGCCTCACTTTATGACCTGTGAGCTAAGAATGGTTTCTACCTTTTCAAAAAGTTGTAAGCAAAAAGAACAGGCAGCCAAGACATATCACACGTGGCCCTTTACAGAAACAAAGCCCTGCCTGCTCCTGTTGTCCACACGACTGAGGGCCTGCTGAGGGCCAGACATGCATGAGGTACTGGGAAGGAAGGGGCGAGTGGGGTACCCCGAGCTCCTGGACGTCACAACCTGAGGGGTGAGCAGAGCCCCTCCAAGTTGTAGTGTGTGCTGAGGGGGGACAGAGAGGAGGCTCTAAGAGCCAGGCCGAGTAGGGACCAAGGTCAGGCAACAGGAGGCTCTGTGCCGTTTAAATTGACACTGAGAAGAGGCAAGAAGCCAGCCACTCGAAGGCCAAGAAGGAAAGCGTTCAAAGCACAGGGGCAGAAGGTACAAAGGCCCACGGAGCACAGCGTGCCTACAGGCAGCCAAGGTGAGGTCTGAGAAGGCAGCACGAGTTACTTCAGGCAAGGCGCAGCCCCAAACTCAAGGTCCACCTCACTCACACACACCCAGATACACACGTGCGAAGCCACAGATGCTTACTCGACAGGAACTCGAGGAGTGGAATGGCCATGCTGGCCGTGGCTGAGATGTGCGTGAGCTTCACGACCAGGACAGGCAGCGCCTTGATGATGATGTCAGGCATCTCCACGCTGCAGATGGCCAGGGCCACCACGCACTGGCTGGCGCAGCGGTAGATGAGGCCTTGCTCCAGGCAGTACACCATCTCCCGCTGTGGGACAACATGGATGCCTCAGACCAGGCCCACCACAGGCTGGCCCTCTGTGCCCTGTCCCTGCTCATAGAGAGCCGTTCTGGTGAGCCAGGGCCTGGTCTCCCCTCTCCCACTCCAGAATGTTCTATGGAGGAGAAGACCAAGACTCAGAAAGGCCAAGTGCCTTATCCCAGGTCTCAGGCGCCTAAGCGGCAGAGCCACCAGCAGCTGACCCCACCTGAGCCAAGGGGACAGCAAGGCTGGTCTGGTCAAGGTCTTCCTGACACCTCCCCACACCCCCACAAAGGCGGGGTCCCAGGTCCCCAGCCCACCCTGGAGCCAGGACACGCTGGGCTCATCATCCCCTTGGTTCTGGAATCCCCAACTGATTGGCCTTTTGGCAAGGGGAGGATCTGCCTAACACAGCAAGGCCGCCGGGCCCACACCAACCCTGGACAGAGTCCCCCATAAAGATGGCTCAGCTGTGCCCAGCAGGAGACAAGTGCCATCTCAGGCCACAACCTTGGGCAAACCACCTGGTAGCTTAAGGCCCTGTGGATGATTCTGATTTCCTGCAGCCAGCCCCACCCCTCAGAAACACTTTGGGCCTTGAGGGTTCTCGGGGAACCTTCAGCCCCTTTGTAGCACAGCCAGTGAGAACCAGGCCAGGCTACACAGGAGGAGCTGGAGCTCACACTCACCCCAGGAGTCGGGGTGGGCAGTGAGGTGGGGGATGGCAAGTCGAGTGTGAGTTTCCAACAGCACTTTGATCAAGAGCATGGGCTCACCACCCAAATAGGACTGAGTCTGAGTTTAGGCCTCTCGCCTTGCTGTGGCCTTGAGTGGGCTACCTGAGCTCCCTAAGACTTCTGTTCCCTGATTGATGAGGGCAGAGTGACAAAACTATCAGGAATTTAAAGAGAAAGTAAAGGTGATGGTCCATTGCAGGCCTCCCACCCAGCAGTGCAGAATTAAGAAAACAGGCATTACTGCGTGTGCTTTTTGCACCTGATGACAGAGTTGGAGGTAGGTGGAGGGGGGGCCCTCTGCCCGCCTGCTATGCCTCTCAAAACAGGCTCGGCGCCACCAAGCGGCTCAGCACCTATCCTAACACTGTAGCAAGGACAAGCCAGGCAAAGCTCCTTAGAAAGAAAATGGCACTGCATATGTGTGGAGAGGGTATATTCAAGCATTTCATTAAGCCCACTCCTCCCTGAGACAACTCAGGAGCACCAGTGAGTTCAAACGTCTGCAGTTCCAAGCTGGGCCAGCTGGCAGGGGTGCACTGGCCACATAGGGAAGCAGAGCCAGCTGCCCTCACCCTGGCCCAATAGCCACCCGTTAGGAGGAAAACGCTGGGCCCCTTTGGCTGAAGCAAGCATCCTGGGGACCAGGCTTTCAAAGCTCAACCAACCCACTCCCATCTGGTACCTGTCTGGTTTTGTCCAAGTAGTTATGATAAGAAATTAACGCTGTCAGCACGGGAACCACAGCAAGATGCAGGTCGGTTCTGGAGAATCCTTCTGGGGTGCTTCGGAGCCGCTCGAGGGTCTTGGGACCTGAAAGCTAACAGCCAAGGGCCAGATGTGAAGCCCTGCCCGGCAGCTGGGTCAAGCTGGGTGGGCAGGGGGCACGGGGTGGCCCCTGAGAATGTAGGCCCAGTGGGAGAAGAGGTCAAAGCCCAAGGACCTTCCTACTTCCTGTTCTAGCCAGGATTCTGCCTTCTCAGAGAAGCGGGAGGCTGCCCACTGATCCGCCAGGGCGACAGACCCCAGGGAGGAGGGGGGAAGGAGTTAAGACCCTGCTCAGTCCTGCACACTCGAGCCCTTCACTGAGGCCCCCAATCCTCTACCTGAGAGTTGGGATGGGAGGACAGGCTCCCAGAGGCACCATCTGCACTCTAGCCGGGGTCCGAGCCTCTGAGGGAAACAAGTTTGCCTCCCAGGCCTCAGTCTTTCAGAGCTGAGGAACTATGCTGTGGCCCCACCCACCACATAGGCCGCGGACCCGCTGTGCACGATGCAGGAAAGGCCCAAAGCGGAAGGCGCACCATGGAGCAGAGGGCGGCAGATAGCTGGTCAACACTACACGGGGAGGTGAAGATGAGGACCTTGTAGCGCAGAGACTCGGGCAGCTTGCTGAGCACCAGCTTCAGCACCTTCCAGTCAGTCTCCTGCAGGAACAGGGAAGACGGGGTCTCAGGGTTGGAAGCTTGATCTGGACAGCAGCGAGGCCTCAGACCTGCTCTCCTGTTCTCCACACAAGCCTGGGCCCTCAGTCCCTGCAGCTCGGGGAGCAGATGCTGCTCAGAGAAAAGTCAGCCCTGGACGGCGGCCGCTGCCTCCAAACGCCAGGCAGGGCAGGAGGCCCAGTGCAGCACCACCCGTCTCCTCTCAGCAGGACCTGGAACTTTTGCACGCCGGCTCCATCTTCCCCACCTTCCCAACGGTGATCCAAGGACGGCCTACCAAGGGCACTGGACCCAAGGGGCTCTGACGATGCCCGCCCAGAGCACAATGAAGATGGATCTGGAAAGCAGCTACTGTACTAGCTTAAAGAGAAGCAAGTATTCCTCAACGATCCATGAGCCCACCTACCTGCCACAGGACCAAAGTTGACCCAAAGCCACAGCATCGAGGACAGGGTTGTGGCCTGCAAGGACCTTCCCTGGTGAGCCCTCCCAATCTCCACTGGGGTGACCACTGCCCATAAACTACACCAATGGCCAGGAGTCCTAAAAGCCTTTCTCCAGATCCCACCTGTGACACGGAGACCTTGAGACTCACAGGAAATCTCCGACAAACCCCTTTAATGCCAAACCCCGGTACCTCCGGGGAACCTGATACCGCCTCTCCATCCAGCTCTGCTTCCCCACCCGTGGCCCCCAGGAGTGCCCCCCAGCCTATTCCGGGCTGCCCAGCCCCGCCTGCGGCACATTGCTGACCAACCCTCCTCCCTCGTTGCCCCATTGGGGAACAGGCCTAAGCTCCTCCACCTCCCGCCACAGGGAATTTACCTCCCCTACTTCCAGGCTTTGCTTACTCCTGCCGCTGGAATCTTCCCCCTCTTTCAAGACTGCCCTCACCTGCCCCTCGCCATGCCCCCAACCAGATGTGACGGCACCCCCTGCTTCCGTCCCACACAGCCTGTTGGTGCCTCCTCCCAAGGCACACCCCATCCTACAATCCAGTTATTTGTCAATATACCTCACTCTTGTACCAAAACCACCTCCTGGAGGAAGGAACGTCTCTTCGGCTCCGCACCCAGCTTCCGGTGATGCACCACACACAGCAGGCGCTCAACACACGGCTACGGAACCTCTGTGAAGCCTCGAGGCAGACAACCAAGAAACGGGCAGCGAACCTCCCAAGGTTGCCAATGTGAGAGAACTGTGGCCCCCGGGCAGCACCAGTCACTGCTTGGTCTGACCTAATGCAGCCGGAGGGTCTGACCATCTCACCTGCTTCAAACACTGCAGCAGGACACGGAAGAGCAGGGAGTAGGGCAGCGAGCCGAGTCGCACGGCAGGGCCTGCAGGTGCCGGGCCAGGGGGCCCAGTGGGAGGTGACAGGGGGCCACCAGCCTTCTTCTCAGAGCCCCTCTCTGGCTCCCTGTGGAAGCAAGTGGGAGAAGCACTGAGGCCGGAGCTCCCGCTCCACAAGGCTAAGGACGGATGCAGGCCCCAAGCCCCAACCCAGGGCTGTGCTCAGGATGCCTCTGGGACCTCCCCTCAGACACAGGACCACCCCAGGGCGTTGGGCAGCGAGCTCCCCACCCCCCACCCGCCCCGGGACCGTACATGTAGTCACAGACGCAGTAGGGGCTGAACCTCACAAGCCCATCCTTGCTGGGCAGGCCCAGGCGGTGCAGCGAGTCGGCCCGCAGCTGCAGGAGGAAGTCGAAAGCCTGCGGAGAGCAGGAGGCATGGTCCAACAGAGAGAAAGCCAACACCTGGCCACGCAGACCAGCACAGCTCTCGGGAAAGGCTGCCGCGCTAACAGCAACCACGCCCTGACTTCATCGCAGATGGTGGTGCTGACGGAGAGGCGCGGGCACTCACGGCCTCCTCCCTCAGAGCCCATGGAGGCTGCGACATTCCCACAAAAGCTGGGCAACACGGCAGCCTCTCACACCCGGGGCAACAGCGGGAGTGGACATATTGCACCTGCCCAGGCACCATTGCATGGCCCCGGTATAGACAGCAGAGCTCTGCTCAGGACACTGTCGCTTCCCCCAGCTATTGGTGGGTCATTTAACTGGGGTCCCCAAATGACAGGGGGCTTCCCCATTGGGCAGACACTCTGAAAGGGACCGGAGCTTCCATCCCAGTGCCCTCTGCTCATCCTGGTGCCAGCTCCCATGGTGGGAGCTCAAACCAGTATGCCCTGCCCGCCCTGCACTCCCGCTGTCAGTCACTAACAGACTCCGCGGCACCAGGGGTCTGGGGCTCCAGAGCAATTCCCTTTCTCTGCCCCCATCTCAGGCTGCCATGTGCCTGAGAGGCATGCAGACCACAGGCAAAGGAAAAAGCAGCAGGTCCTGGGGAGGACGCAGCCACAGCTGGTGCTAAGGAGGGAACAGTCTGCTGTAAACCTCTCCCGGGCCCCCCGCCACCTCTCCAGCCTGCAGCCACTGCATTCACCAGGCCGGATGCAGCTGCTGGGTGCCCCATGGAACATACCTGCAGCCGGATGCTGCTGGCAATGGGCAGGGTGTAGGTGTGCTTGTAGTGGAGCTGGATATGGCTGACAAGCGTTTCATACACACGTGTGGCGTGGCTGGCAGGCAGGGCATACAGCTTGGTCTGCAGAGAGAGCGTGCTGGTCACTGCAAGGGCAGGAGGCCAAACTACAGCCAGGGAGTCAGCACCTTGATGCCCGGGGGGAGAGGCCAGGCAAGCACTTTGGAGGTAACTGGCCGCACCCACCATTCTTTAAAATGTACAAACACTTCAAGCCACCAACTCCGCTTCAGGGCTTCATCCCACGGGTACACCCACATGCGCCCACCCTTGGTGAGGGCAAAAAACCAGAAACAGCCACGTATCTGTGTTATCAACAGGGAATCGGTTAATGAATCAGAGAAACCTGCCCAATGGCACACAATACAGCAACGCATGACAGGATCCACGTGCACCAACAGAGCACCTTCTCAACGCCACGAGGCAAAGCGGGAGAAACCAGGGGCAGAGCAAGGCGGGAGGTGTGCTTCGTGAGGGGTTATAAAGGGGATAATTCCCCTACCTGCTGGGGCTGTTATTAACCCCACGGTGAGCCCGTCTCCCTGACCTCTGCAAGGTCAAGAGCACCTCCCTGACAAGCGAGGCTACGGGAGGCCAGGTGTGAGAGTTCGCGGTGCTGCCAGCAACCTGGTTTTGGGGACAGGGGTTATGGGGTGGTGCTGGGGCAGGAGGGACCCAAGGGACCCAGCTATAGCCAAGGGTCCCCTTTGTGGTACTCTGAGCCTTGGAGGAGAGCAGTGCTTCAAAAACGTATCACTGATGTTCTTTTATTTACTTATTTATTTTGAATTTTTGAATTTTATTTTACTTATTTTTTATTGATATTCTTTTTAAAGAAAAAAATGATTAACAAAGTGGTGTCTCTTTGGTTCAGAAACAATACAGGGACTTCCCTCGTGGTCCAGTGGTAAATGCAGGGCACACGGGTTCAATCCCTGCTCGGGAAACTAAGATCCCACATGCTGTGGGGCAGCTAAGCCCATGTGCCACAACAACTGAGCTCGTGTGCCTCAACCAGAGAGCCTGTGTGCTGCAAACTACAGAGCCCACGCACTCTGGAACCCACGCGCCACAACTAGAGAGAAGCCCACGCGCCGCAACTAGAGAGAAGCATGCGCGCCGCAACAAAGAGCTGACGCAGCCCCCAAAAACAAAATAATTAATTAAAAAAAAACAACATAAAAGCATTATCCCTGCCTTCCACAAAAAACAAAACACACACACAAGAGACAGGGGAGGGAGTTGGACACCACACTTGACAAAGCACAAGCATCTCAGGAAGGACACCCATGGACTTGGGCAGCCGCTGCTCTGCCTGCCCATTTTGGTGGGAAGAAAGGAGGGAACCGAACTTTTTGCTACGTTTATGCTGTTCACATGTTTTAACTAGACATATATATTACTTTTTAATTACAAAAAATGAAAACAGGCTGGCCCAGGACTTTGCTCAAGTAGGAAACAGCTCAATTCTGTGGCCCCGGGTCGCCAGGGCTCGACTTCCAAGTGAGGGCAACAGACCATCTCTTTTTCATTATCCGTATAGGTTTCTGGGTTCATCCAGGCCACAGGCCTCCCCACAACCCCTCAAGTCAGGGCATAGGGAGCACGGGGCTGCTATGGACAAGACACCAAGGAGGTGCCGTCCACTTTTTATCAAACTTTAAATTTCCACACCAGATAATAAAAGTCCATCACGTATAAACATGACGGAAACTGTTCTACTATCAACATTTTACGAAGTAGTTTATGAACCAATTGATTCAAATATTACATTTTACACAATACTGATACTGGCAGGTGCCCTTAAGTATAGATAACACCACAATGCTTTGCAAGTCAGTGATCGAGGGGGGTAGCCAGTGGAAGAGCCTGATTGCTGCCCTGCTGGGGACGTAAAGGGACAAGTCCACAGCTCCAGCAAGCCTCAGGAGCCAGGCGGTGCCCGGGAGCGTGTGAGGACAGCCAGCCACCACGCAGGAGAGCGAGCACGACGTGGCGAGAATGACTGGGAACAGAGAATGTGTGCAAATTGTCTGACTGATGAAGGACTTGTATCCAGGGTATGGAAAGAACCCTTACAACTCGAGAAAGACAAATAAACCAGTTTAAAAATGGGCAAAGAGGGAATCCCTGGTGGCGCAGTGGTTGAGAGTCCACCTGCCGATGCAGGGGACACGGGTTCGTGCCCCAGTCCAGGAAGATCCCACATGCTGCGGAGCGGCTGGGCCCATAAGCCATGGCCGCTGGGCCTGCGCGTCCGGAGCCTGTGCTCCACAACGGGAGAGGCCACGACAGTGAGAGGCCCGTGTACCGCCAAAAAAAAAAAAAAAGGGCAAAGGATCTGAACAGACATTTCTCCAAAGAGGATACACAAACAACCCGTCAGCACATGGAAAGATGCTCAACGTCATTAGGAAAATGCGAATCAAAACCATAGTAAGATTTCATTTCATACCCATTAGGATGGTGATAATCAAAAAAACAGAAAATAAGAAGTGTGAGTGAGGATGTGGAGAGAATGGAAGCCTCATCCACTGACGCTGGGAATGTAAAATTGAGCAGGTCCTGTGGAATACAGCCTGGCTGTTCCTCAAACGATTAAGCAGAGTTACCGGCTGACTCAGCAATTCCACTCCTAGGTGGATCCCCTAGAGAAATGAAACACGTGTCCACATAGAAACTTGTGAGTGTTCACTGTAGCACGATTCACAACAGCCAAAAAGTGGAAGTGACCCAAGTGTCCATCAACTGACGAATAGATAAGCAAAATATGGTCTATCCGTACAATAAACTATTACTCAGCCATATAAAGAAATGAAGTACCGACACACGCTACAACATGGGTGAACCTTGAAGACATTATGCTCAATGAAAGATGCCAGACACATGAGGTCACATATTGTGTGATTCCATGTCTATGAAATGCCCAAAATAAGCAAATTCAGAGACAGAAAGTGAATTAGTGATTGCCAAGGGCTGGAGGTGCTGAAGTGAGAATAAGGAGTGACCGCTAATGGGTATGGAGCTGCTTTGGGGTAAATGTCTCTAATGATGGCTGCACAACTCCATGAATACAACAAAAACCAATGAATCATATACTCTAAACGGATGAATTGTATGATACGTAAGTTACATCTCAAAAAAGCTATTCAAAAAAGACCAAACAACCGTGGGGCCAGAATGGACACCAGCCCTTCCCACCTCATTGGCTGTGGGGAGACCTGAGGGGGTGGTTCTGGCACTGGCTTGGGAGTGTTTCCCACAGACTGGCTCTGGCTGGGCCTTGTCCACCCTTCCCTGACCTGGTCAGGGCTCTGACCTGGTCCCCCCACTGTAACGAGGAGTTGGTATCACACTCGGACTGCCCTCTGAGACCCCAGGGAGTGCCCAGGTCTCCTCGGGGATGGGTCCCTAAAGAGCAGCACTCCAATGAGATGCAGAGACCCACCTGAAGGATGACCAGGAGTCCCAGGACTGCCGTCTTCACATCCTCCAAGGAGGCCGAGTACACCACCACATCCCTTTCCTCCAGCTCAGGGGGTGGAGACAGGGAGCGGGCAATCACCTACAGAGAGAAGATCTCTATTTAAATTCCCAACTCTGGGCTCCCTGAGGCAGCAACCATCAGATCTGATATTTTCTACCAAAAAATGCTTTCTCCTTTATTTTTCAAGAGGAAAGATGCACTCCCCTCATCCAAGGCATGGTTCAGAAACTGCAATGCATTTTGAAATTAAAAGGATGCTGGCTGTGCAGAAGGACAATGTGTCCAAACCCCACCCCCAGCCAGTCTCCCCTGAAGCCACAGAGCCATGTCCCAGGACCCCTGGGCAGCACAGCAGCAGGACAGCGCCAAGCAGCAGCAGGCCCGGCCAGACCTCCCAACACCGCCCCATCTCTACTAGGAGGGAACCCCATCTCGGGGAGACCCAGGCAGTCTCCCTGCAGAGAACGGAGACAGCGGGTCCAAAGAACATTGCTGTCCGCTGGGCTCTGCCACAGAGAGGGGTCCCAATGGCAGCCCAGGCGCCCCAAGCCCCAGGCCCGAGCGGCTCTCACTTTCTCAATGATGTCCAGCAGGCTATTAAAGTGGTGGGTGTGGCAGCCTTCAGCCAGATCTACCAGCAACTGGGTGGCCAGCTTTCGGACTTGGTGGTCTTTATCCTCCGGGACGTGGGAGAGCTGTGAGATGACCACTGAGTTGATCAGCTCCTCCTGCACCAAGCACAAGAGAAGCCAGGTGAGCCACTGGCCACGGCCAAAACTCACCTAACACGTCGTTAAAGACTTGGGACAACGGCGGCGGGGTGTGTGAGCGCCTGAGAGGCCCAGGCCTCTTCCAGGGCACTCTGTGCGTCCCCTCGGCTCAGGAGAATGATGACAACTACACGTTGGCCCAGCCGGGGCATGGCCCACGGGCTCAGACTCAGATGTGATGCAGCAGTGAATGTCCCCGCTCCCTCTCTGTCATTCAATATCACAATTAAGAAGGATCCCATGTGGAGAGCTCTCTGCGTGTGTGCCCTGGGGATAGAGAGACCTCGTCCCGACATCACAGAGCCCACTATAACGGGGCAGCAGGACAAGCGCTTTCACGGAAGCAGGTACAAAGCGCTACAGGAGCAGAGAGCAGGACGAGAGCGACCCCAACACAAGGGACTCAAGAACCCAGAGGGCTTCCTAAAAGAGGCAGCACTGAGCTGGACTCTGAAAAAGAATGAATTCCAAGGGACAGAGATGCAGGGAAAGGGAAGGCTGAGAGGGTAGGAGGGGTGGGCAGGTCCTAGGGATACGAGGCATTCCAGTGAGGCTTCGGTGAGGAAGGTGCTGGGAAACGAGGGGAGATGTAGAGCATGAGCACACCTCTCGGAGAAGAGAGCCCAGTGGGCAGGGGCCGCTGCCGTTTCTGAAAGAAGGACAGGCCCTGGCTGCAAACCTAGTGAAGGATGGACTGGAGGGGAAGAAATGCAGTAGAGAGGTTGGTCGGGGCTGCCACCACCCTGGCATCTGGTGATCAGCCCAGAGCCCGGAGAATGAGTGTGATTATAAAAATAAAAAGAAAATGTCCTCACGCAAGACTGTTTTCCTGAGGGCAGGGACTATGCCATCCTGGCCGCTCAGCCACAGGCCTGGCAGAAGGCACCAAGGAAGGGAGGGAGGGAGGGATGAATGAGGAAACAAAGCCTGCCACAGAGAGGCGCTGGCAGACCCCAGGTCCCAGTGCCCTGAAAGGGCCATGCGCTGCCTCTCGGGTGAGCATCGCCCCGCATGGCTCGTGGAGGCCACCCTCGCACCTGCTGCTCCAGGGCTCCCGCGCCGGCACGGATACACACCTCATAGAACTGCCTGTTGATGAGCAGCACGAAGGACAGGACGTCCAGCACCTTGATACGCACAGCACTGCGCAATTCGTTCCTGGGGGGAGGGGCACACCTGCTGGGGCTGGGCGGGTGCACGAGCCACCGGCCTCACCCTCCCCCAGCCCGAGCAGCCCAACCTCCAATGGCTTCCCTGGGGACCCAGCCCCCAGACCCACCCGCCTCCGTGTCAGGCAAGACTGACTCCAGATCCTCCCCACGTGTGGCCCAGCTCGGCAACATCCAGACCAAGAATGGGGTAAAGGGGCAGAGAACCTGGCCCTCAGAGATGGCCTCTTTCTAGATGACCACTCCACAGGAGGGAGTAAGCACAGAGGCCTCAGAGGACCCTGTCCTCTGGAAGACAAACCCTTTCTTGCTCAATGTGAACTGTCATTTTCAAGAATCGGAGAGGAAAGTGCTAACTCTCACTGTCCTGCCTGCAGTGCAGACACAGGGTCAGGTGGGCCTCCAGAGGCTGCCTACCTGAAAAATCTCTCCATCAGTAACTGCAGGTTGTGAATCCAGCCATCCTTTGCTGGATGGATTGACTGAGCCCTGTAGGTTATTAAGTTTAAGAGGGAGGACTCCTGTCAAAAGAAGAAAGACCTGGAGTGAATGAGCCGCCCTGCCCTTCCAGAGGTTTTTTGATAAATATGGCCCCATGCTGCTGGCCCAAGAGACCAGCCACTCCGAGGCCCAGGTAGGGAGCCCACACGATAAAGGCCCTGCTGACAGCAGTGAAGATTCATTTAAAACCCACATAATGGACTTCCCTGGTGGCACAGTGGTTAAGAATCCGCCTGCCAATGCAGGGGACATGGGTTCAAGCCCTGGTCCAGGAAGATCCCACATGCCGTGGAGCAACTAACCCCGTGTGCCACAACTACCGAGCCTGCGCTCTAGAGCCTGCACACCACAACTACAGAGCCCACTTGCTGCAACTACTGAAGCCCACCCGCCTAGAGCCCATGCTCTGCAACGAGAAGCCACCGCAGTGAGCAGCCCCCGCTTGCCGAAACTAGAGAAAGCCTGCGTGCAGCAACGAAGACCCAACACAGCCAAAATAAAGAAATAAAAAATAAAACCCACATAAAAGCCTTGCATCAGGCTGAGCCCTTCTGGCACCAGGACTGCCTGCCTTTCGCGGAGCAGATATGCTGAGCATGAAGCCAAATGGCCCCTCCCTCCGCACAGGTGGGAGGAAACAGATGCTTAGGCTGTGATGTGCTCTCACAGACCCACACGCATTCAGCCTCCTGACGGCACGGCTGACTTCTCTGCTGGAGCACAAATCCCAGGGGAGCAGAAGCCTGCCAAGGTTTTTACTTCAAACTCACGGAAAACTTGCCGCCAGACCTCCGGGAGCTGAGCAGCCCCTCCCCTCCCCCAGCAGCCTGACCTAAACCACCCTCTTGCCCAAGCACCAAAGGCCCACTGTGTTGGAAAGAGAGGTGATCTTACAGGCCTCTGGTCTGCACATCTCTCAACAAGCTCAAAGTATCTCTCCTGCGAGCCGTGGAACTCATTTTGATCACACAGCTCTTCCACCGTGGTCAGCAGGTCGTGGACGATAGCTTTGAGTTCTGGGCTGTCCAGGCTCTGCAACACGAAGGCACGGTTACAAAGGAGGGATCTCAGCTCCCTTCAAGGACTCGGCATCGGAGCCCTCAGCTCAAATGAGCTGAATCCAGACACCCTCTCAGGTCCTCCCACTGGACAGGGGGCATAAGTGCTATTCCTGCCCATTGGGGAACGGTAGGGCCCAAGGGGTCCTGGCTGTGCCCACATGGCGGGCCTCCACTACCAGTGTGTTCACGCCTCCCTCAGGCTCTCGCTTCTTCCGGAGGCCCCAGGGGTGTGGCCTCCCAGACCATCACTCCAAGATGAAACACTGCCTGACCAGCTGGTCGTGACAATGGTCTGGCCCAGCAGCCACCCCTGAGGGACAAGAACCCAGGCCCTGCTGAGTTCCGGTCCTTCCTCCCACAGGCCTGGCCGTCCGCCTAAAGCCTGCCCCAGTGCCCCAGCCCCGAGCCCATGCTATATGTGGCCTCATCTCATCTGCAGCCCCTGCACCATTACGTCCTCCTTCCTGCCACAGTCAAAGCCCTCCTCCAAAGTTCCACCAACTGCGGGCAGCATTCGAGACACTTTGGGAACTGTCTTCAGGGTCCACTTGCAGGCCATGGAGGCCACCTGGTGTGTTACTCTGTCGATCTTGATCAACACTACCCCCCACCCCCCTTGCTCACCTATTACATAGTCCTGCTCCAACTGATAGAGGGGATTTGGGAAAAACAGCCGTCTTCAGTGGATGGTGAGTTGCCACCCAAGAGCCATCAGAGAACACGGCCCAGCAAGCTCTGAGGGAGGGCCCTGGAGGGGTGGGGAGCTGCCCCCATGGGTCCACGCCCCCCAGGAAGGGGCCCTCTGGCCAACGGGTCGGCCATCTCAGTTCTCCCTGTGCCCACCTCACCTGGAGCTGTTGAAGCAGGCGTTCAACAATGTTCAGCAG